CTTCCTCCGCCAGCCCAGGCTCCAGGAAGGTGTGTTTGTGTGGGGTGCCCGCGAGCAGCGCCGCTCGGGGTCGGAGAGCGAGCGTTTTCGCTGGTGCTTTATGTGTAACTCGTTCTCCCCGTTTTAGCCTCTGTGTCTGTGGGTTGGGGGAGCATGGGGTAGTGCTTGCTGAGGGGGCGCCCCCCAGGGGCCTCGCCTTTCCCCCGACCCTCCACTTCCCCATCCCGGGTGGCCTCGGTGCGTGGCTCAGGCATCGAGGCCGCCCGCGGGCGCAGCCCCAGCCCAGGCGCAGAAGTGGGACAGACAGGTGCTGGGAAAGAGAAAATGCCAGGGCTCTCCGCCTCACCTAGTCTCTCCGAAGCCGCCCACCCTCCTTGGCAACCTCCTGGGCTGCAAACCCCCAGGGTCGCCCTCCTTGCGCAGCCACCTCCACCCCCACCCGGGCAGGGTGGAGGCATAAGGGGGGTGGCGGGAATGGGCATTGATGGGGGAAGGGGTCGAAAGGTCTGTTACAGGCTGCCCAGACAGGGGCCAAAACGGAGTCTAAGAGGACGCTATTTCTGCAGACTTTCAGGGGCTCCTGGAGTACCAAAGGGAACCCCTTGACCTTTACCAGTAGGACTCCCCGTCTGGCTCCCCAGGCCATTCTCCAGGACTGGAGGGCTGAAAAGCTTGCAATCCACATCGGAACTCTCATGACTTTACATTAGCTCCAGAAGGAGAGAAGCTTGTGAAGGAGCTCAAGCTGCCTGGGGACTTGCTTTCAGTCTTCGGGCACTTTCTTAGCAGTGCTAACCCCAAGCCTGGGGTGGGGTCTTCCTAGACATCACCTCATCCAGAAGGGCATTTGGGGAGGTACCCAACAGGTCCTGGAGAGTTCAGCGTTTTGGAAACAGAATGAAAAATGAATCACAGGATTTGTTTGGGGGAGGGGGGAGGGTATCTTCATCTGTGGATATATTGATATTATTTTATATATATTCATCTCTAAGGTGGAAACCAGAGAATGTTGGGAGCTACAAGGCAGCCCTGCCTGATGAATGTCTCCAACCCCTCCTCCTGGACCCCTCACTTTTCCTAGGCCTGGGAAGATCCATCCATCTGTTAACTTCTGGGACTCTAGAGATGGGGGGGGGGCTCCTTATCTGGTTTGAGGGATGGGTATGGGGGTTGATGGGGAGGGTGACTTCTCTAAGGTTACAGTGGCTTTGCTGTTGCTTGAGGCCTGGTGTTCTGTGATCCTGCCTGCTTGTCCTCGTAATCTGTTGTCAGCTGAATGGACATGTGGCTGGCCATTTTGCTTCACTTTGGGAAACTTCACTAGCTTGTTTGGCTTGGTTACTTCACCTTCCCATGCGCACACACCCCACCCACCTCCCCTAAGAAGCATTTGGCCTACATTGCACCAAGGGAAATTTTTGGGGAAAAGTTCTTTAAATGGATCAACACATGAATTCAAAGTGCATTATTGGGACAAGGGATCACCTCTAGGGGGGCCCACTAATTCTGCTTTGATTGACGCTGACTGCCTTTGCTGATTTGAACTCATCTAGTAATTCCAAACTCTGGGTTTCTCTTAAGGTCCTTAGAGCTTTCGGAATACTTGTCTGAAGGATTTGAGGCTGAAGTGGATTCTGGGCCCCTCCCTTCACACTGGTCTTCAGCTCACCATTTGGCTGCTTCATTCATCTGGCGAGATGAAGGTTGGGGCAAAATGGTTACTTCCTGGCTGGAGCTCCAGCTTCAAGAGCCCTTTCCTGTTGGGGGCCAGGCTTCCTGCCTACAGGAGATGATGGGAAACCAAGAGCAGGGTGTGGAGGATTGTGGGGAGGCTTGTGAAGAATGTAGGTGTTAATGATTATTGTATTGGAGATGAGGAGCACAACATAACCATCATAATAAGGCCTTACTTTAGTATAGCATTGGCATGTTTGTGAGGCCCCTTCTTTAATGGTCTTTCTTTTTCTTTTTCACAACACTCAACTTTGTAATTGAGGAAACTGAGTCAATGAGCCTAGGAGCGACTTGCTTAAGATCACTTGGCTCATGAGGTCCTGAGGCAGGATTCAACTCTTGGCAGCCCTGACTCTCCACCCAAGTTCTTCTCAGTGTAGTACCAAGCCAAACCGAGTTGGTCATCCAGTTGATTCTGACTCATAGCGACCCTGTAAGACAGGGTAAAACTGTTTCAGTGAGTTTCTGAGACTGTAACTCTTGATAGGAATAGAAAGCCTTGTCTTTCTCCCACAGAGCAGCTATCTTTTGAACTGCTGACTTTGAGGTTAGCAGCCCGATGTGTAACCACTACGCCACCAGGGCTCCTCAATAAAGTACAGTGCTTCTATTTAATACCAAAATCGCCCTGTTCAGACAAACTGGTTTTTGTTTAACGCATTTTTTTTCTTTCTTTGGCAGGGGGTTGTTCAAATTATATCTCCCACCAATAAAATCTACTGACCTGAGCTTAGACTTTTGGAGAGGCAGCTTGGTGTAATGGAAAGAAGATGGTTGTGAAGTTCCAAGAGCTAGGTCCTAATCCTGTCTTGTCAAAAACTAACCATGTGACCGCAAACAAACCCTAACATTTGACTGAGCAGTGGCAGCCTGATGCCAGGGACTATGTTTTGAGGTCTCTTTTCTGTCCCCAACCCCCCCCCCCAGAAGATGGAAATCAAGGTACCTACCAGGCTTCTGTACGTAGCATATTAGGTAAAAGGTGGAAAAGAGGTTTGTCCACCTGAAGCTACTGGGCGTATGTAATACAGAGGCCTAGGGATGCCTCGAGCTTGAATCCTAGCCTCCTGCAACTTACCAAACAAAGCAAGGCTCTTGGAGGGGGGTGTCCCCGGTTAATTTAGGCCCCACACCAATGTCTGACGAAATTCATAGGATAATTGCTTCAATTCTCTGCTTTGTTCTGCAATCAGAGGCCTTGTCTCTCTGATAAAACAGCCCAGCCTGAGAAAGGAATAAAAATATTGTGTGTGTATATATATATATGTATATATATATGTGTGTGTGTGTATATATATGTGTGTGTGTGTATATTTATGTGTGTGTGTGTACATATATACACACACACACTTTATGTTTTCAGAGTCCCTGAAAGAAGTGAATGTAAGGCTTTGGGCTGTCTTCTCGATTGCTACAGCCCAGTCAGTTGAAGGTGAAGTCAGTTTGGGATGCACTTTATCAAGGCTGCTAGAAGGCTCATTGTAGGTCACTCTGGTGGAAAGGGACTAGAGGTGAAAAGGATAGCAAGAGACTCTCACTTGCTGGAATGGAGTGTGGGACTGGTCAGCAGAGCTGGCCTTGACTCCACAGGGAGTTGGCCAATGTTTCACTTATGTTCTGGGGAGGGAAAGGCAGGACTCGATGCAAGCTATGCCTACATCTCACAATCACATACTTCAGTGGCCTAGGAGCACTGGAGACTGAGTGCTGGCTCACATGGAACAAATGGCCGGTCAGAGCCCACAGAAGGCCTGGGCTCTGCCTTTTTAAGGCTGTGAATCTAGATGGTGAGCCAGCCTGTCTGGTTAGACAGAACTCTGTCAACAACCAACAAGTTTTCTGGCTTTTGTGGCCAAAGAGTTGTGGATGGATGAGGAAGGAGGCTAGACTCACCCCCAGATGCCTCACTAAGTGCAGCCCTGTCCAACTGACTGAAGCTTCCCTCTTCACAAGATTCTTCATCAAACAGATGGAGTGAGGGGTGGCGAGAATGTGGAGAAATGACCTGCTCTTTTGGAAAACTGGCCATGGCTGCCCACTGCTGACAAAATCAAGTCCACGAGCTGTCACCTAGCTTTGAGGGTGCTCCCTGATCTGGTTCCTTCCATGGCCCCTGTCCCCACCCCCTTGCCCAGCCCTGGGTTCTGACTAAACCAGCCCCCTCACCATTCCTCAGACATGACATGCACTTTCTTGACTCTGCTTACTTGTTTTGCTTTGTTTTTTAATCATTTTCTTGGTGGCTTGTACAACTCTTATCACAATCCATTCATTGTATGTCCAGCACACTTGTACATTTGTTGCCCTC